TATGCTATAACGGTCTTCTTAAAAATATTTATAAAATTAAATATTTCGAATTGCGGCATAATTATAAGGCTAAATTAGCTAATGCCAAGCTTGAGTCGTGGAGAAATTTTCTCTCAACTGTTAATGTTCACAATGTCTGGAAATATATATATATAAGTATGGGGTTAAGACCAATTTTGCGAAAAGGATTGAGATTTCGGGAATTAAACTCCCGGATGGCAGTGTTACTTCGAGTTTGAGTGATACAATTGTTGCTATTATGACAAAGAATTTTCCAAGAGATAATGCGCGTGATAATAGAAATTCTCATAGAACTATGCGTACTGAGTCTGATGGACCTTATATTTCTTTTATGGACTATCCGTTCTCTACTTCAGAAGTCAACAGTGTTATTAAAAATCTTAAGAAGAACAAATCACCTGGGCTTGACTCTCTTTCTAATGAAATTGTACAGCACTCTCATGCGGTGGATAGTACATTTTTATACAGAATTTTCAACCTTTGTTTACAAGTAGCAGTTTTTCCAGCACAATGGAAGAGGGCTCGGGTTGTTTTGATTTCTAAAACTTTAGATACAAGAACCCCTTATCTTGATAATATTAGATGCATTAGTCTTTTGCCTACTTTGGGAAAATGTCTTGAAACTCTCTTCATTAACAGAATAAATTGGTATTTGAGACAGAAATGCTTTTATAATGATTCTCAATTCGGATTTACTCCTCGGAAGTCCGCTGAAGATGCCATTATTCGCCTTTGTAATATCTTGCAGTGGGCAAAGAAAATGAAGTATACTACACTTCTCATTTTCCTGGATTTCAAAGGAGCTTTTGATAATGCTTGGTGGTCATCTATCTTAAAAATTTTAAAAGATGATGGTATACCAAATAGTATCTATAACCTTCTTAAAAGCTTCTTGAACGAGAGGACAGCTGAGCTTCAGCTTGGGAACGAAGCTAAGGTTTATTCTCTAGAAAAAGGCTGTCCTCAAGGCCTTGTATCCGGACCTACTCTTTGAAACATAATAATAAATGATCTTTTAAGTCATCTCGACGGTTGTTTAAAAATTGCTTTTGCAGACGACTTACTATTAATTTTCCAAGGAAAGATTTTGAATAACATTCTTTTGAGAGCACAAGAAGTTTTAGATTTTGTCTCCAGTAGGGCGATTTCTCATAAACTCACTTTCAATCCTTCAAAAAGTAAAGCTATGCTTGTTCCCAGTACGTTTGATGAACAAAATATTGCTCCTTTGATGCTCGATAATTCTCCGTTGAAATTTGTAGAAAATGTTAAGTATCTTGGTGTCATTCTTGACCAAAAATTAACATGGAAAAAGCTAATTGAATTCCTTTCTGCTAAATGTGAAAAAATTATTAATGGCTTTCATCGAATCGCCAAAAATACTTTTGGAGTAAGCTACAATGTTAAGAAACTCATGTATAAGCAGTGTATTGTACCTTTCATATCGTACGGCTTTCGTGCTTGAGGACATGTTATTGCCAAGAAGGTTAACAAAAGAAATTTAAGAAAGATTCAACGGAGAATTCTTCTTCGTATTATAAGTGGTTATAAAACCTTAAGCTATGAGGCTACTTTTGTTCTTGCAGGAGTTCCGCCTATTGGTTTTGAAATTGCATATAAGAATAATATTTTCGAGTCATTGGCAACTGATGCTTTGGAAGACTGTATTAATGGAATTGTCCCCTTCACTGATCTTCGTCATCCCCCTACTTTAGAACCCATAAATTTCTGCGATTATAAAGAGACTGCTGAAATAAGTTTCCGTATGGTTTTCTTTACAGATGGCAGCAAGATGAACAACAAGGTTGGCCTTGCATTTGTTCTTTTTGAAGGCCATTCCGAGGTTTGTTTTTTTAGACACTATATACGGAATGAACGCACAGTTTTTCAAGCAGAACTTCTGTGCATTTATCTTGCCGTCAAAAGGATCCAGGATAATGGGACAACATCCTCAAAGTACCTTATTTGTTCTGATTCTCTTTCTTCTCTTCAACGTTTGAACAGTATTACCAGCTGCGATAAATTAGTTATCGAAACCCTAGTAACCGTTAGTTCACTTAGAATTAAAGGTATTGATATCTGCTTTGCTTATGTGTGTGCTCATCATGGTTTCTACGGAAATGAAAGAGCTGATTTCTTGGCTAAAGATGCCTTAAATTTACCCATTGATATCAACATTAACATTCCAGAGAAATATTGGAAGTCCTTTCATTATAAAAGGCTTTAGCTATGTGGAATGAGGAATGCATTTCATCTTGTAATGCTGAAGTCACCAAAAAGTTCCTTCCTTCTATTTACCATAGATTGAATTCCGAGTCTTTCCTCCCGTTAAATTTTAATGTGTCTCAGTTTTTATCTGGTCACGGTAAATTTACAAGTTACCTGTTTCGTTTTAATCTAAGATCAAACAATTTATGTGAATGTTCAAAAAGAGTTCCTCAGGATGTGGAACATTTGATTTTCTCATGCCCTACATTTGATGGCCCTAGATTATGCTTACAGAATGATTTAAAAAATGTTCGGAGTGACTTGGCCAGTGAACGTATCTGTTTTCGTGAAGTCCAGACTGGTGTTCTCTGCTTTTGTTCGCTCAATTTATGCATGTAACTTTTAATGTTTATTTAACCATGTAACTTTTAACGTTTTAGTTAACTTACTTCTGTAAGCCCCGTGTTGTACATATGTGGTGCACGGGGAGTCTGTATGTTCTCAAAGGAAAAAAAAATGTTCTGTTTTCTTAGTAAGATGGTTTACAAAACTTGTACTCGTTATTTTTCGCCTTTTTATTATTAATGGTTTGTGTGTTAAATATCACATTCTCCACTCTTACACACATAAAATTCAATTAAAAGCAAAATGGCAAAATATTTAAAAACAGCATAGGCTTGTAATTTTAGATACATAATCTTGCGCGCTGGAGATAAAAATATTTTATTTCGAACAGTGCTGCTTGCTTTCAAATCGTTGAGTTTGTTAATCACAAATTCATTAAGGCTGAAAAAAGAGAAATATGAAATTCAAAATTTAAAATTCGGGCTTCCAGGTGCATATGTTCAGGTGGAGGACTACGTTATTCAAAATTTGATGGTCGTCGTTTCTTCACGTTGCGAAGAACATGCGTTACTTGCATGCAGATTCTGCATTATTTAAATTCCTTAAAAATAACATAACGTGATAAAATTTGGTGACAGTAAATTGAAAAGTGATACGTCATTTATAGTGGACGACGCAAAATCATGTTTCGAGACTAACAGCCGTTTCAGACTGGTAAGGATACAAAAAGATGAACATAAATATGAATGATATTTTAAATTGCGTTTTCGAAGCTTTTATAAATAAGCATCTAAATTAATAAAAAATGCTCTAATACGCATGAAACTCATATACAAACTCTGGAACCAAAGGTTCCTCATTTCTGCTTATTTAGCGGGGGAGTAAAACTATGGAACTGATTCAAATCTGGAATTAGCAGATTGATTTATTTAAATTTCTTGAGGGCAGAGGTTAAAATAAAGTCGAAACAGTGGCTGAGTAAACAAATCAACATAAAAAAGCAAAAGTAATTATGAGGCTTACGCAGAAGCTACCAGAAGTTTTTGTAAAGACGAACAAAGAGAAGCAAAAAATAAGTTTCATTTAAATGATCAGCATCATAATACATCTCGATAAGAAATATTAGGAACGAATCTCAGGAAAATTTGCCTTGAAATTTTACTTTCAATTGGTTGGGAACGGTTCTTTACTTTCAGTTGGTTCAACGGTTAACAATAGCTGTAGTATATGCGTATTAAGATTCTGGTCTAATACATATTAAATACTGGCGGAAGTACCCGACGCCAGTTAAATTGAGAGTAGTGTGTATCTAACAACAGAGCGAAAGATACCGCTGGAATCCTTCTTTAATAACAATGCAAAAAGTACGATTGATAGTCATAACATTTTTTAGCCTAATGCGATGTGAGACCCACATAAAAAATGTCGATACAAAAAGAAACTAATTCTTTTTAATTATCAGCAACAATGACACTCAGTTTTTAATGATTTTCGTCTTTCTAATCAAATGGTCGTAAAAGCTCAGTTTCCATCCAATATTTCATCTATATTCAATTTTAGTCGATTAAATGTGGCAAAAAATTCGTCATAGTTGATTAGAGATCAATAACGCGAACAAACAAACACAGAAACAAACATTCTTCTTTATACAGTATACATACTCATATATATATATAGATAGATTTTGTAAAAGCTAGAAATTTTTTATTAACAAACTCTACGATTTGAAAGCGAGCAGTGGCAAGGCTTCCCAAAATAAAACAAATTTTTACTCCAGCTTGTTAGAAAAGGCGAAAATTAGCCTTTTCAGAGTTTCTAATTAACATCTCTGATTTTAGCTATTCTTTTTCTTTTTCTTTTTCTTTTTTTTTGGGGGGGGGAAAGTGGACGTCGACCATTCCCAGGATCTAGAAAATAATTGTAGAAAGTTTGATATAGTAGTGATTGAATTAATCACGAACAAACACACAGACATTCTTCTTTATATACATATAGATAGATAAACATTATTTGCATTATTAGTTTGCCATATTTTATATTAAGCAGTTATTTTGTGGCAATAAAACAGTTTCATTCATTGAATAGATTTTTTAATAAATGAAAATGAATGAAAATATCAATTGTTTTGCCATCGCCAGTTATGTGTACACTTTTCGTCGTACCATTTTTAGAAATTCATTAAAATTTTTTCAATTAAACTTTTTTCAATTAAAACTAGTCTTCTAATGCATGACTTTTTCAAATCTGTGACTTTAATGTTCAATTAATATACCTATACTAATCAGAATTTAGAATACTTTTAGGCCCAGCAAGAACAAAACCTTAGACGAGAACATTGTTAAGGAATTTGATCTGTAGCACACCATCACATATATATTTGACATCTTTTAAAACAAAAACATTATAAAAATAGAAACGAAACTCACTGAGTGGGTCCGACGTCTCACAAGGGCTATCTAAACAGCTATCGGTTAGATTTTCTTGAGAAGTGAATTGAGGGTATTCGAACGAAGTTTTGCAAATACAAATCGAACCTGCAATACCAGTGTATACGAAGCAAGCGTCAGAAGTCCAATTCCATTGACAAAGCAGCATGGAACAGGCACAATATTGATCTGTTTTGTTGGCGTCAGGATAACAATAAAGAGTATCACATGGGTTTTTCTCACAGGAGCACCGATCTTCAAACCAAGACCAGTCACAGAGAGGATCTTTAAGACACTGTGTCTTCTCTTCACTGGAAAGGCTATAAGTTGAAAATATATTTAAGAATTATTCACTGACTACAAGTTAGCACTCATAGCTTTGAAATATCTTTTCTTGCACACTGAAAAAGCATAATTCATTCAAAAGCACTTATATATTTACATAAATTTAAGGCAGCAGTCTAAATTCTGTCATGTGCAGAGACAGAAAGTGACGACTCACTTCTCTAGACCCCCCTCGACTGGGAGGCAACTCCTGGTGTTCTGATTAAAACCTATACTTATACATACTCGCTTCTGTGTTATATAATTTGTCTTCGCAGGACTAGAGCCATGGATTCTTCGGTGGTCCATTCAGGCGCCGAAAACAGTTAAGAGAAGACCAATAGCATTTTTAAGCAATTTCAAATTAATCTTTTTTTTTTTTACATAGACTTTTCACTGGAGAGAAGGTAGTTATATCGTTATCTAATATTTGAAATAATAACTTCATTATTGCAGATGTTAAGGCAACAAGAATCAGCGTAAATTTCGCAAAACTGCAGGATTAGTTTCGAACATTGCTGGTGAAAATTTCCATTTTCCTGCTGAAAAAGTTATTCAAAAAATCGTTAGGTTTTCAATTACGATTTTCTTGAGGCATTTAACATTCATAAAAATCTTTGGGTTCTAGTCAATGACCCAAATTTCAGACAGTTTTTAACGAAGTTACTTCATGGTTACTTTCATTTTCATCAATAGATGTCGACAATACCTTCGTTTCTTTACTTTACGAAACCTTATCGAATTGTCCGCTTTAATATTGTAGCGTAAGCCGAGACTTTTGCTTTGCTTTTTCTGTTACTACAGATCAAGAAGAAGGTCCTATATTCAAAGTTTCGAAACTAAGCCTGCAAATTTATGAAAATTACGCTGATGTTTGCCTTAGCATCTACAATAATCGCTATTCAGAGCTTTATTTCAGACACATAAAAACTTAATTTTTGTCTTTGCCTCTAAACTAAATTACTCTTTGCATTAATACTGGGAGTAAATTATTATTCAAAAGATTTTATGAATCTTTTATTATTAAAATAAAATATTGAAAATTATTATTTAATAGGTAAAGAGTATATAAATGGTACAAAATTACTGCATATATAAATAGAATTTCATATAAATTAAAACGCTCTTACATCCATATGGTATCCATTTTATAAAATGAAATTAAATATATGTACTCAAGTACTAACTATATAACTATATACATTGGTTACCATCTTGAAGATGCTGGTTGCTCAGGATTGATAAGATCAAATTTTGTAAAGTTACACAGCAAGCATAAGATTGCCAGCAACATTTAAAGCCGACAACAGCTGTCATGAAAAACTATCGGTATCAAAGGCGCAGTATCAGTTCTCTTTTCGGAATACCAAGGGATTACGTCAGGTTCAAAAGTCATTTATGGGATTGAAGATGAACGTTTACTTTTGATCCATAGCAGTGTCGTTATCGAAATATTTATAAGCATCCGTGACATTCGTACTTCGCTGCTAAAGAGTCTCGAAATGCTAAATTTATTAAATAAGCAACTAACGTCATTATAATCATTTTTGGGATACAGTAATGATTTAATATACTGTAGGGTTTTACTTAAATTGATAAATTTAAATAATTCAAAGCCTAACAAGCGTAAGGCAAATTCTTGCCATTCTTAAAGTAACAACAGAAATTTTTTAAACCTTTAAAAAAAATAGTTTCATTTTAACAAAACGTACAGCATAAGTGTACATTCTTGTACTGACAGAATCAATTACAGCTTGTGGAAATGCAACTAAAGTAAGAGTAAATTTCAAAATTAAGACGTAGGCTAGTAGTCCAAGACTACGCAATTAAATTTTGAACTGATCTGGCTTAAAATTCTTACCCACATATCAGATTCAAATGTCGGCAGGAAAAGCGCAAAGCTGTAATTACAATCTTATGAGTGCTGAACAAGAACAAACGACAAATTTAATTATCGTTCGTAATAATAACTGCAATTAAATCTTAATAGTATATATTAAGAATAGATTTGTTATTCACTTCCTTTGGTAGATGTGACAATGTTAATAAATTTTAATTATGTTAAATATTCATCATTAAATTTTCAGACGTTTTGGGGAAATAATAATTTTTTTTTATCGAATCAGAATAGCAAACCAAATTCTGATTCTTTGAAAATTGCTATATCGGGGTTAGCTTGCAGATGTTTACTTTTTAATGAAGATCTTTCAGTTATGAGTCATGCAAAGTTTAATTTATAAAAGCATGTTATCTAGAATATACAAATTACGGGCAAAAACGTTCCTCTCTCGTCTTATATATATTTTCTCTGCCGCAGAGAAATTTCTAGTATTTCTCCAAATTGCTGGAAGGCATTTGAGGACCGAATACGGTTACAGTTGCATAGAGGATCAACAACAATTATTTAAATACTATACCCATTGCAGTTATGCAGTGAATGGACAAAAATATCGCTAAATGGTCGCGACATTTGTTGTCGGGACTTTGACGAAGTTTACGAATTTGGCGATTTGGCGCAAATAACGTGACAAAAATAAGTCGCGAAACCATTGCCAGCTCGGCGATATCTCGCCAAATTAGCAAGATAGACATTTACTCAATGATAAGTAGACTTACTCTTGTTTCCTTTTTCTTCGGCTGAACATCAATTCTTTCAAGCCTTTCATGTTACATTATACAGGAAAATACAACAGTTTTATATAAAAGTTCGCGGAAGTTATCTACCTATGTGTAAAATTCCTAACATTGCCCCCTCCCAAGCACTGAACGTCCGGGGTAGCACAGACTCTGGACAGAAAGCCGTACTTACAACTAAGGCAAATACTTAAACAATAATTGCAATAAATGATGTAAAACAAATCAAATGCTAAACGAATAAAAAATGTATAAATTTACAATATAATATAGAAATATGACCATGCTCGTACAGATTATTTATATTATATAAGTGTAAATCTGGACTACGTCTTAATTAAGGCAACAGTAAGAAGCATGCCTGTCGTAAAGAATAACGATAGGCTTAGATTTGGATGACATAAGGATACGAACTACCACATCGTTCAGCCTATTTAGGACTGTGTAAGGACAGTCCCAAGGCGACTATAGTTTAGGACAAAGTCCTTTCCGTCGAATTAAATTCCATAACTAGACCTTATCACCTTGGTTGAATTAATGTATTGTAGCTCTTGTGTCCTATCGTGTCTTCATCTTCTCCGTCGCCAAGTTAACTCGCTCTCGAGCAAAACTGTTCAGCACTTCAAACGGCGCCTGAAGATCTTGAATGTACTCCTCAGGCGACGAAAATGCATATGTAGAGCAACCAAACAAGAACACAAGGCAAATGAAGGTCACGACTGAAGAGTACCTGGGATGGGGAATTGCTGGTAGTCTCGTGAAGATCACTGCGATATGCCAGTAAAAATTGTGGTAACGTCTGGTCCTGAAGGTTTCTGGAAACCATCAGCGAGATGTTATTAAGGATCATGATGTCTGATTAGAGATGAAAGGCCTCGCGTGGGTTTTGTTGATAGGGAGTAACTTGTATAGTTAGCAGACATGTAACAGAATAGCAGAATGTAATGGAGGAGGTACACGGAACCTGGAAATCCAATGCTGTAAAATTACTTCTGCTACCATGGCAGCATCTTGATCAGGAATAAAATAAACTTCAGACCACTTGGTGAAATATTCAATGTCAACAAAGATGCATTTCGTGCCATCAGCAGTTCGTGGCAGAAGTACAAGAACGTTAAAGACGAAGCATTCAAGTGTCACTCCTACGCTGTGACCTTGCGGATTCCCTCAGCTACGTTTCTTCGGTCCTTTCCGACCCCTCGGAAATCGCAAGATTAGCACCACTTTTGCACGTCAGCCCTTGCATTACTCCAGTAGAAGAGTTCTCGAACTCTATGCAACGTTCTCATTATTCCGAAGTAACCTTCTGTTGGACTACTGTGTAATACTCTCAGGGGAAGTTATTGGCTCATTTTGATTGAATTGGAAAAGCGTTTATTATTGGAAAGTATTTTTTATACTTAAATTTTGATAATCAATAGAAACACTTCCCGGGGTTTGGTAGCTTGTCGTGGTCTGAGGGCTCCACCTCCTAAGGGAGGTGGTCTAAATCCAAACCCCCAAAAGAGATTGACAATGGATAAGAAAGTTCAGACAGAGACTGTTGTGCAAAGTGATTTGATCTAAGAAGCTCGAACTATAATTAGCGAGCTAGAGACTTGTTTGGAAGATGCAAGTAGAATTACAATTGCAATAGAAAGAAAGTTTTTAACACACAAGAAGTGTTGTTTAGTTATTGGTATCTCAAGCATTGGAGATCGAAAATTTAAAGGAAAATTAGAAATATTGGACAAGAAACCACAATATGAAAGATCTTTTGCTGAGGTTTTAAAACAACAGAAAATAGTGATAAGGAAACGTATCAGAATAAGGAAAAACTAAGAAAATAGAAGAACATGTTTACTGTATCCAAGTAAAAAGGGAACTTCTTCTGAAGAAGTTAAATCAAAAGTGGTAGAAATTAATTGATCCAGTTGAGTTGAAGATTGGTATTAAAAATGTTAGAAAGTGAATAATGGTGGATTGGTTGTACAATGTTCGAAAAAGAAGATATTGTTTCATTAGAACGAGAAATAAAACGAATCTCTTTTAAGAGATGAAATTCAAGTAAAAGCTCCTAAAAAGAAACAACCTAAAATTATATTGTAATAATGTGGAAGAAGAATTGGATAAAGGTGAAATTTTGGAAAGCCCAATTATGAGACAAAATCAATATTTGAAAATGGCGGAATGCGGAATTGAACTTTTGTTCAAAATAAAAGCTAAAAATCAAAAAGTACATTGGTAGCAAATATTCAACCAGATAAGTTTGGTCCGATTATGAACCAAAATAAAATTAATTTGAAATGGTAAACAATCACAGTAAAAGAATATCTAAATGTTGTAAGATGTTTTAAATGTCAAGAGTATGGTCATTTTCAAATTAAATGTGATAAAGATTTGATATGTAAGAAATGTTCGAAAAAAGGATATAATTATTGGGAATGCAAAAATGAACCTGAATGCATTAATTGCGTACAAGCGAACAATAAATATAAATTAGATTTAGAAACTAAGCATTCAAGCTTAGATAAAAATTGTTCCTGTTTTAGAAGACAAATTGATCTTATAATAAGAAGAACTGACTATGGGTAATGTTCTCTTAAAAAGAAAAGGAAGGAAAAAAAAAAGAAAAAATGGTGAATAATTTGGATTATGAATTATTATTGACAATTGTAAATTTTTATGTTTAAAAATGTTAAAAACAAATTGAAAAAGTTATTCATTTGTTGGAAGGTCTCTGTGTAATAAAAACTTATATTAGATTATATATTGTTGTACAAATACAAATTTTTACGACAAGGATGTCATTTGTTATATGTTGTACTATTATATGGAAAAGTGTTCTATTCCCTAAATTAGGAATATATTAATTTTAATTTGATTAAAAATTATGTATATATTATATTTTTTGTTGTAACAAGTTGTTTCATTAATAAAGTATTTTAGTTTGTTGGTGAGGTTAATGGATCTTCCGGCCAGTAACGAGTACAGTATGGTGTTTGATTTTAAATCAATTAGTAGTTTCAATAAGCCTTGCATATACCTTTAAGGTTCGCAGGATTAAATACCAGTCATTACTGTGTAATACTTTAAAGGGGGATCCGGGATCTTGTATGTATCATATTGTTATCGGAACGCCTCTCCATCATCTGATTTGAACATCCGGTACAATACGCAGTTTCGAATATGGAATAACTCCAGAGAGCCAAATATTGTTTTTCAGTAGGACTATAGATTGATATATTCTGCCAAGTAGGTTTTCTGTTTGAAGATTCCATTAAATCAGTTACGCGTTTAAAGTCGCCATGTTCCGACTGATCTTTCGTGACTTCGTGACTTCTTCATAACCTCATAGATGCCTTTTAAATGATGTTAAATTCATAACTTAATAAACGACCGGAATGACAAGCTCATATTTTGCTTGGACCGTGAAAAATATCGGTAGTTTTCCTCAGGTGGTCTTCTGGAGAGACCTTCGGTATTCCCTTGCCACGATCCTTTCCTCTGACGGATGGTTACGTCATTTGCCTGGAGTCTCTATATTCACCCGGGTATTTTGCTATCAGGATTTCTGAAATTTAAAATTCAGGTCAACCACGCATGATCTGTGCGCAGCAGGAATTTTCTGCTGCAGAGATAATGATGGAAATGTTCTACGGCTTTAATTTCTGCCAGCAACTCTTTTTTGGTGACAATGTAATTTCTCTCCGGTTTAGACAAGCACTTGCTCCAGCAGGCCACAACACGTTCTTGGCCGTTTATTTTTCGGGGCAAAACAGCACTGACACTTTCACTGTTCGCATCGCTGTCGAGAATAAATGGTCTGTGGAACTGAGGATTGTCAGAATTAGAGCAGATGTTGAAGCTTCCCTTGAGGTTGTTAAATGCATCCTCACATTCTTTTGTCGAGAAATCTTTTGTTTGCTCATTGTCATCTTGCGAAGGTGTTTTGCAATGGAAGAAATGTTCTTCGCAAATCTTCCTTAGTAGGTGCAAAGTCCCAGAAGTATTCTCAGCTGATGGATTCTTCGGTGTGTCTCCATTCTTTAACCTTTCTGGATCCGATTTCTGATACCTTTTCTGGATCCGTACATATGTAACACTTTCAGTAGAGTTTACATGTTCTAGTCAAGTCACTTTTTGCCTGAATAATTTACATTTGGTGGGGCGTAACTTTAGATTGGCTTCTTGAATTTTCTGAAGCACTTTTCTAAGATTTTGCAGATGTTCTTCAAAACCCTGATGCGATCCAGGAATATCAGGTAAGGTTCGTTGGAAAGACGTGCCAACGCAATCTCCATAACGTGTTCGAATGTTGACGTCGCATTAGATAGAAAAAACGGCACCACCTTTAACCTGCCGATTTCCTTGTCGGTAGCAAAAGCTATCTTTTCTTGGTCATCAGGATGTTTCTCTACCTGCCAATATTCACTCTTTAAATCAAGTGTCGAAAAACACTTGCTTCCAGAAAGAAGTCAAGAATCTAGCCAATTTCTAAGAAGAGGCTAACCGTCGTTCTTCATAACTTTGTTCAGCAGGCGATAGTCAACCCGAAATTTATTTGAACAGTTTTTCTTTCCGAGCAGTACAATGGTAGGGGACCAAGGACTTGCTGAAAATTCGATTACGTCTCTTTCTTGCTTGTCCTTTAGAAGTTTTCTTACTCTTTCTGTTTAGAAATCGGTGAAGTTTTGGATATTGCTTGTTTGGTGGATGATCCAGGTATCTATTCTGTGCTGTCTAAAACAGTTTCGACCTGCGTCAGAAGACAAGCAGGAGAAAACAACTTGAAATTCTTGAATTACATGTTCGGCACACTCCTTTCTCCATCGCTTATTTGTGCATTATATAATAACTCTGATATTAGGGTCGCCGAAGATATAGAAAATAGCGAACTATTGGGTATTTTAATACAGGTCACTGGAGTTTATGTTGCAACTAGTACACGTTTTCTAATGATTTTTGCTATTTGATTTTGCTATCTGATTTTGCTTTTATTAAAATTGGCAACTCTCACCCGGATAGTGGTTCTCGATAAGTCGACGAGTGA